GTGGCAAGGACAAAAGTAAAACACATGGACACCTGGTGGGAGGCCAAAGTAGTAATCCAGTGAGAGCCCAGGGACTTGGAGTAGGGTTGTCACAGGGAGGTGGTGAGAAGTAATCAGGGTCTGGGTATATTTTAAAGGCAGAACTGATAGCATTCGCTGACAAATTGGATGTAGGGTATTCGAAAAAGAATTCAAGGATGACTTCAAAGCTTTTGGCCTGCACAATGGGTTGTGATGAAAACAAAGGGCACATTTGGTGGGGGGGTGGAGGGGTGCGGGGAGGAGAGCTTTGGTCATGTTGAGTTGAAGATGTCTTTTCAACATCCAAACGGAAAGGGAGAGGAGGATACAGGAATCAAGAGGCCAGGAAAGGTCAGGAAAGGGTGGTAGGTTCATAAGGGTACTATTTCAAACTCAATAATTCAAAAAAGGGGGCAGACATTTGGCGAGTACAAAGTATGTAAATGTGCTTCTGCATTTCTGCCATCTTCATGAGCACTTTTATAAGTTTTCCTTTAATGACTTTTTAAAAAATGATTTATTTATTTATGCATACAAGAGCTGGGGTGCAGGCCAGAGATGCAGGGGGATTCACCAGAAAGAGTTGGGAACAGAACAGGCAGATTGACTGAAATACACTGCTTAGGGGAGCAGCAGGCAAGACAGGTGAGGTCTGCTGCGCCATGTGGGTCACTTCCTTGGCTGAGGATCAAACTCAGTGCTGCAGTGGCTTTGGATAGCTTCATAGTGCTGCATCTTAACCCCTTGTGCCACCAGGGAGGGAGGCCCTTTAATCACTTTTTTTAATTTAATATATTTTATTTTATGTAATTCTTACATCATTTTTCATTTTTGCACAATGTATGCATTTTCATCTTGGTTATATTCCCCATACAATTCCCACCCTCCTTATTTTGACCCTACTCCCTCCTTTCTTCCCCCATAGTGTGTTTCTGGTTTATAGTTGCTTGTTGATTTTTATTTTTACTTTATTATAATTAGTCTTTCTCCTGGTCCTTTATTTAGGTTTTCTAAATTCCTGCTATGAGTGAGACCATCCGGTATTTTTCTTTTTCTTTCTGGCTTATTTTGCTGAGCATGATCCCTTCCAGCGCCATCCATGTTGCTGCAAATGGCATGAGTTTATATTTTTTGATTGCTGATAATATTCCATTGTGTATATGTACCACATCTTCTTGATCCAGTCATCTATTTTTGGGCATTTGAGTTGTTTCCATAGCTTAGCTATTGTAAATAATGCTGCTATAAACATAGGGGTGCAGGTGTCCTTTTGAATTGATGTTTCTGTGTCCTTTGGGTAAATACCTAGGAGTGGAATTGCTGGATTATATGGAAGCTCCATCTTTAGCAAGTTGAGGAATCTCCACCTAGCTTTCCATAGTGATTGGACCATTTTGCACTCCCACCAACAGTGCAGGTGAGTTCCCTTTTCTCCACATCCTCGCCAACATTTGTTGTTGCTAGTTTTTTTGATGGAAGTCTCCTAGACAGCAGGGACTAATATTTCTTGTGAATTTATTATGTGTCATACACTGTGACATGTAACATCCCATTTAAGCCTTGCATATCTTACAAAGCAGATGCGGTCACAGATGAGAAAACTGAGGTTCTGCAAGACAGGGAAAAACTACTGGTCTTCAGTCACGAAGCTGCTAAGAGATTCAGCTGGGATTCAAACCAGGATATAATTCCTAAGTGTGTTCCTCCTGATTTTTTATCTGCTTTTCACGAAATGATTTTAAAAAACTCTGTGATCTTTGTGTCAATGATTTGTTGTTTAGATTAATGAGAGTAAAAAGTCATTTAAAACCAGTCCCTGCCCAACTCCTTATCATGTTCCTAACAATTCAGAAGTTGCCAACTTATACTGAATATTTATTACACAGGTGTTGCCAACTAATATTATCTTGATAGTACACCCAGACAAATAGAATTAGGGAGGGAAATTTGAATGGACAGAAAGTCAACGAGGTACTACAAAGCACCTATGTTTGAATTTCTAGATTATTTACAACTGCCACTGTAGCACAAACAGGAGAATAACTGCAAAATTGTCATTCACTCGTATTTCCTTTTATATTTCTATAATGTGTTAGCCAGTTCTGCACATAGTAGTGGCTTCATAAGTGCTATTAAGAGACATCTCTTGGTCCAGTACATTTTGGGAATTACTGGTAGTCTAGGTTACTGTCTCTGATTTCATGCCCCAGTCATTGCACGGTACTGGTCTCTACAATGTGGTAGGTGCTGTCTAGGTACTGGGATACCAAAATGGAAATGGACACAGTTCTTACCATGAAGGAGCTCACTTGAGTGGTGAGAAAACATGTGAAAAATAAAAAATACAATGTAGTAAGTGATTTCATTGAGATATGCTCAGGGTGCAATAAAGGAAAATATGTTTGGTGTGAGTTGTAGGACTATACCAGAGTGAACATGTGATTTGATTCCCGAAGAATTGATCAGGTCTCCAAGGCAGGGGCATTCCTGCCAAAGAAAGCAGCTTGTACAAAGACATAGGAGCGTGAGCATTATTAATGAACTTAGTATTGTGGGTATATGGGCTCCTTGTAGGATGATGGAAGATAAAGTTGGAAAAGCTAAGGAGCGGATATCTTCCTCTGATAACACACAGGGCCAGACAGGTGCAGTGAATGGACAGTGAGGACAGTATTGGAGACTAAAGGATGGAGGTGGGGATGACTGTGTGGAACATGATGGCTCTTACTTGTCTCGAGGGGGGTGGTTCTAGCTGATGGCAGCCATATGAGAATGTGGATCCAGCATTAACAGGTTTCCTGATTTTATTTTTTATGGAGGAGCAGGAAGTCTGGACTTTTAATATGAAATCTTCTGATCTCTATATAAATGCTGGCGATTAATTTTTTAATTCAAGGTTTTAGCCAATAAACAAAACATGACACATCTGTTCACTGGATGTGGCCTGCAGGCTGTCATTTTGAAACCTGTTTAAGACCTGAATAGAAATGGTGAGCTGAGACCAGGAAGGTCCCTGAATACCACCACACCAGGGAATTGGCTATTATTCATTCCTTTTTCATTTTAGGAAAAGAAGGGACAACTTCCTTGAACTGTGTGAACAACCAAGTCAACTCAGGACTGGTGATAAAGCAGATAAAGAACAATGTTGCAGTCTTCATTTCATAGTTGGAGAAACTAAGGTCCCCAAAGCTCCAGGACTTGCTCAGAGTGACCTAGCAAACCAGTGTCATGGTCAGGTGTACTGACTCTGAATCTTCCATTCTTTCTAGTAATCCTGGGCTGTGATAATTAAGGCAAATCAGTCTGGCAGTTCCCTTAGTATCTAGAATTCCTAAGCTGAACAAACAAGACTTGAGATCAACTGTTAAGCACACCCTTTTTCATCTTATCTGTATGATGGTGATTTCCTTGGCAAATTTCATTTTGTGTGGCAAGAATAAATGAAGGGGACACCAAGATTTTCCCGAAGCACTGAGACCATTCAAAGTGTCCGGAAAGAAAGTTGGCTTTGGCTAATATATTTAAGCTTTCTGAACTCTGTGCTCTCTGGACTGACTACTCTACCACATGCTTGGCTTTTGTTTTGTTGTTTCTCTTCTTTTTTGTTTCCCTTTACTTTTCCTTCTTTCCCACCAGCCTAGGTCTTAGGCCTTCTTTATACAAGTTAATAAAACTGCTAATTATTGTTAAAATGGGAATGAAAGTGCATCCTAACCTAGAAGCATACATATTTGCCCTGCTCTCCTTATTTTGTTCTCTATAATCTCAGTCTATTAATTTGTCAATTGTGACTCTTAACTAATCCTTTTCATCTTTCATTTTGGGGTCTATAGTTCTGACATTTGCCACTTAAGTGTGTGTGTTTTCTTCTGAACCTTTTTCTGATTGGTGCCGTTGTTGAAGATGCTGCAGTTACATCAGTGTACATCTGGCTGGAACCTTTGGCTGACTTGTTGAACTTCCCCCAGGAACACCTCCAGGAGAGGTTGGGAGAGGGGAAAGAGGCCAGAACAGTTACCTGCAAATAGAGATGCCAACAGTCTGTGGCCATTCTGTGGACCACCCTTGTAAAAATCCACCCATTCCTGCCCTAGACTTCCTTGTTTGCTCATTGAAGGCCCAGGTTCTCCACTTAAAACTTCTGCTGCAGCGGAAGATGTGAAAATATACTGGCTAGGGATACTCTCATGGCACTTTCTACATTGTAAAGGGATCGATACTTACCTGTTGAATGAACTGATCAATAAATCCTGGGAGACTGTTTTACCCTTCCTGGAGCAATATCACTCAGTTTTGTGTGGTACTGGTGGCTTGCTTCCTCACTAGGATTGAGGCCCAGACTCACTCCAGGAGAGGGGCTGCCTCAGTCCCAGCCCAGTCTCACTGCCTTTGGCTCCCAGGCTCCGGGTTTCCTTTACTTTTGGCGCGCCATTGGATTGCAAACACAGCAGGCATGGTTTCATTCCAAACCCAGAACTGTTTTAATTAGTTTAACGTCTGTTAAACGCTTTGAAGATTGAAAGCAACAGATAAGTACTGGATGATGTTATTAACAACTGCAGTTAATTGCAAACATTTCTATTAATACGAGTTTCCGCCTCCTTTTCTTTCCTCCACTTTCTTTCCAAGGTTCCCCAATTCGCCTCAGTCCCCCTCCCCTCCCCCATCCTCCCTCCCCTCCTCTCCCCCTCCCCCTCTCCCTCCCCTCCCCCTCTTGCTTTCGCCAAAGGGTTAAATTGAGGCGGAGTTGAGGGATGAACGACAGCTGAAGTCACCAACTGGAAGGGCCGAGCTGGAAGAGCTGGGTGGGGCCTCCAGGCCCGGGCGAACACACCCGCTCTCAGGCCCCGCCCCCCGGCCAAAGGCCCGGGTTGGAACGGCCGGGGGCGGGGCGCCGAGGCTTGGCGGGCCGGGTGGTAAGGCGGCCCGGCAGCGCTGGAGGGATGGGGCGGGGTCGGCCGGCGCCTCCTCCCTCCTTCCCTCCGCCGGCCCAGCCGCCCCTCTCGCCCGCCCCTCCGCCTCCCTTCCCCCCCCCCCAGTGGAGCTGCACATGCGGCTGCTCCCTGCTGCGTCCCGCCCAGCCTCGGTCGCGCAGGAACGGGTCCCTGCAGCCCCCGGCCGATGGCAGGACAGTAGCCGCCTGTCAGGGGTCGTGAAGGGCTGAGGCCGACGCGGCGGCTCTCAGGCCTCAGAGTGGGTGTCTCCGGAGGCCATGGGCTACCCGGAGGTGGAGCACCGGGAACCCCTGGCCGCGGCAGCGCGGCGGGAGCGGGGGAGCCAGGGCTGCGGCTGTCGCGGGGCCCCTGCCCGGGCTGGCGAAGGGAACAGCTGCCGGCTCTTCCTGGGTTTCTTTGGCCTCTCGCTGGCCCTCCACCTGCTGACGTTGTGCTGCTACCTAGAGTTGCGCTCCGAGTTGCGGCGGGAACGCGGGGCTGAGTCCCGCCAGAGCGGCCTCGGCACCCCGGGCACCTCTGCCACCCTGAGCAGCCCTGGTGGCCTCGACGCCGACCGTCCCCTCACCCGCCACTTCGGGCGGCCGTCACCTCAGTCGCCGCCACTGGAAGCGGGAGAAATCGCACTCCCCCGAGACTCCCAGGACGGGCACCAGGTGAGTCACCTCGCTGGGAAGGCGGTGGGGGCCCCCTTTAATGGTGGGCAGGGCGGGCGCCCTGGGGAGGGCTCGGCTGCCCCAGCCAAGTTCGAGGACAGGATCTGGAGTGGACGGGCGGAACGGGATAGATTGCCGCGGGGCGGCGGTCTTAGGTCCCTGGCCCTGCTCCCCCAAACCCTCTCGGGACCCCTGGACTGGGGAACGCTGGCCCGCACCCCCCGCCCCAGGCTCTGGGCGGCCTCGGGAAAAGTTGGCTGCGCTCCCGGCGGGCCCGGCGCGGAGGTGCCGGCGTGCCCTTCTGGCGGAGTAACGGCAGTGGCTTGGCCCCTGGGCTCCTGGTGAGATTCTCTGCCCGCGGTGCTTGTTTTTTCGTGTCCAGAGCCGGTGCCAGCACTAGCAAGGCACTCCTTTGGAGTTGGAGCTGTAAACAGCTGTAATAACTGCTCCACGCCTCTTGAAACGACTTTTAACCGCACTTAAAGCTCAGGGTCCTTGTGCGCTGACCAGAACATGGGCTTGTTCACCCTTACCTGCAATTTGAGACTGATTGTCCTCGGTGTTCTAGTGTGGATCAGCGCCCCAGAGGAATTCTGGTAGAAATATGCCGTCTTGCTAGGCAACTTCTGAAGAGCAATTTAAATACTCCATGGAAATAAAACTCACCCTTTGCATGCCGGTCCTGAATTTTGTTGTTGGTTTTTTTTGGGGGGGAGGGGGGTGAGTGTGAAGTTTTTTTTCCTACTGGTAGCTTGAACACAGGGATCTACTGATGAAATACTTAGGATTAGCCTCTGGAGAGCAGTTTTTGTTTTGTTTTGTGTCTTTATGGAGTTTGTGCCCTTATTACCAATCGTTGACTTTAGTGTATGTCTAGGCTTTTTCCAGCTCTTTATGCAAGTAAATTTAGTGCACTTTAAAAATAAGTATCTCTTGACTGCCACATTTTGTCCGATGTGAAACTTAAGAGAAATATCCAAAGAATCCATTTGAAATGGTTAAAAAGTCATAGTGAATTTTTTCCTCTTAGGTAAGAGAATGAGTTGTGCAACTAAGTTCGTTGAGGTGATGAAGGACCCAGACTTTTTATATTTACTACCTCGTGCAGAGTCATTGTCATAACTCTAAACAGTACTTGTGCTACTGTGACTACCCAGCCAAAGCCAGCAGCGTCATACTCATGATAACACCTCAATGTTAGGACTGACGCATTTTCTACATGTGCATGGTAAAGTTGTCCTGAGCCTTAAAATACCTTGGTAGCACACTCCAACTGATATAACAACTTATCAAAGAATTGAATCAGGATACATGCTTCTCATTCTTGGAACTTGAAACATCGTAGTTAAATGATAATTAGCTAGGATTCTGGCTCCTTTCATCTGTCCCCCTTCACCAGCACCACCAGTGTCCAGTAGAAATACTTAGCGGCTAAACATTGATATGCTGTGAAAAAATGAAGGAATTAGACTGCCTTAGTCAAATGATGGCCAAGGCTTTTTGGCATTCAAATTGGACAGACCCATGTTAATAGACTGAGGATTATCAGGGGAGCTGTACTGTAGAGCATAGAGATGGTGCGACACTCTGACAGGTCTATAGTGGTGTTTAGTTTTGTCTGACCTCTGCAATAGTTCTGTCTAGATTTAAATACAACTCCCCAACTCCTGTCCTTTATTCTTTCTGTTGCATTCTTTGCAACCAGTAGAAGCAAACATACAGGCTTTTTACATTTGTTGACTCAGTCAGAATTATATTTGTTTTTAGAGTTACAAGGGACCCCATGAGTCCATTTTGTTTGATTCTCCTTGGGGAACACATGGACTCAGAGAGAGGGAGTGACTTGTCCAAGATCACACAGCTACAGTAAAAATCAGAATGAAAGTTAGTTCTCTTGACTTCGAGTTCGGTGCCCATTCCCCTATACAGACTATCCATGAAGTGTTTTGGGGGAAAGCAGGACGGAGCTCCATTATAAATTTTTTACAAAACAGAGGGCTCAGATCTGCATGATTTCTTCTAGTCCACCTATATTTTGGCCACAGAGAGTTTAACCATGTATTCCTTATTCTGCCCTAACTTCACTCTCAGCACAATTGGAGTAAACTTTGAAGGAATTTTAGTCCAGATTCAAATTAAATTTAACTTGAGGATATTAGTTTTATTATACGACACACATATGCCACAAAGGAAAAGTGAATTGGCTGTTAGAGTTAAACTGATATTGCTACATCTTGGGTAAAATTTCTAGTGCCCTGGTGCACCCTCTGCTGGCTTTGCAGGGATATTTAATTGCAGTATCTGCTGACAGTCAAGATTCTAAGTTGTGCTGACAGATCCTGATTCATAAATAAGGAAGTAAACAGCCTTGTGGGATTTGGCCACGTAGGTCATAGTTTTATATTTTAGTTTTTCAACACAAACAGCTGCTGTTACAGCAACTCTTAGATGGAGAGGGAGAAAGATAAAAATATACACCCTTCAATAGCCAGTAAGTACATTCAAGTTTCTTACCAGTTTATCTGAGAGCAGTGAAGGCAAACTGATGAGAACAAATTGTAGGAAGAGCTCATGAGATCAAGGGACCAGAACAGTCAGAGGCATTTCATTGTATAAGGTCATGTAAACCTACCCATGTTTATGAGATGATGGGCTCATTAAGACCTCACTGAAGATGTATGTATGTCATCTCTCAATTTAAAAACTTCAGAACACGATACAGAAATAAATTGGGGCAGTGAGGATACATAGCAGAGAGATCAGCAAAGTTCTCTAAGGGAAATAAAAGAAATGTTGGAAAAGCCTGGACAGTGGGGACACAGTTGCTGGTGATAAAAGGTAAGAGGGTAACTTTGGACCTTCTGGAATTATCACTGTCTCCTTCATCTGGAATAGCCAAGTACCTGTAGATTTATCTGGATACTCATCAGAGATGACATAGGAGCTAGGCACATATTATCAGCCTCTGACTTAGATATATACAATATGATTGTTAGAGAAAAAAAATAAATAAATAAAAATTGCTATTGATCATTCTGTGGAGAAGTTGGTCAAGTTGTGATTTTGGTTTTCAAAGCCAAGAATATAGTAGGCATCATCAGGAAGGGTGTGGAAAACAGACAAAACAAAACTCATAGTTTTCATGTAAAAGATCAAAAATAGATTTCTCTCCACAATAGAATAGGAAATTCTAGTGACAGCGCCTCAAGAAAAAGCTGACAGCTGATGAAAGTCCCCAGAAACCCAATTCAATTAATAAAAAAAGGGGAAACTTTCTAGTTTTTTCAGTCCAAAGAGAGAGAAGTTGAGGGAGGGTTATGATCAAAGTTTACCAAGCCATGAGTAAGGTTAATACGTTGATGTAATTTAGCAATCTGATTCAATAAATAGAACACCTACTATAAGCCAGACACTATGTTAGGTATCGGATACCTTTCAATATACACTTGAAAGATTATTTGGCCCAGTGAGAGGGGGAGGGAATATAAGTAGTATCTTACTTAAATTATTGCCTCGAGATAGTCTAAACAAAAAATTGAAGGTTTAAGAAGTGTTCCAAAAATTAGTATGGGTAGAATAATAAGGGTTTATTCTAGACTGTAGGGGATATTTAGAGTTTCTTCTTAATTATTTGAGATGTTATCACAGAAATCAACCTTAACTTTCCACAAAATATTGCTTGGTTTAACTAGGTAGAATATTAGTGTATCCAAGTTTGGCATTCCTTCTTAAGACTAGTTGATCAAGAAAATGACTAGGACTCATTAAATCTAAGACTTATTTTTTAGGTGAGGAGTATCCAGATAAAATATTTTCTATAAGTTTAAATCCAGACATTCAGGTTTTTGATAAACTGGCTCCATAATACCTATCCCATTTTCTCTTTCACTAACTGCTCCTGCAACCCACTATCTATATTTCCTGTCTTAGAATAATTATCTACATATTAATGCCATTGTTGTATTTATAAATTTTCTTTATATTAGAGCTCCTTGGAAATCTGTCTACTTTTTTTTAGTCTTTTCTCATAATGCCTGACACAGTGCTGGTTACAGCTAGTTAAATACTAGTTGAGTTGAATGTTTTTTTTTTTTGGGGGGGGCATTTGGAGATGTTTACGTAAAACAAGAACATTTTCTTTTTATGTAACAGGCCTGTTGTCCTCAGGTCTTGCTAAGCCTGTGACTTGTCAGCTATGTTTAGGTGAGTAAATAGTTCCACCAGCAATGTTTCATTGGTTTCTAGAATCATTAGAAAGTGTACTGGAGAAGATCCCTGTCTACATTACTTCTAAGATAGGGCACAAATTTTCCTTAATGTATGGTTTGATGTTTGGTTTTATTTGCATTTGGGTCTTATCCCCCTCTCTCTCTCTTAGGTCTTGTGGAAAATAATCTGTATTTTATCTGTAACTGCCTTATAGAGAAGATCTCTTTATATTAGAAAACTAAAGCTATTTATTCCCTAAGAACATTACCAAGAGAAATCACTTGCCTTGTTTGCAGAGTTGCCCTTATAGAGCACCATCATTACCTGATTGTTCTATAAATATTCAGCACTTAGCTCTTTATCCCCCGCTCCCCCCACTTTTCTATTGAAGTATAACATCATACAGAAAAGGTCACAAATCATAACTGTACAACTTGATGCATTATTACAAAGTGAAATACTATGTTACCAGAACCCAGGCCAAGAAAGCAAGCTAGCATCTCAACTGCCACTTATGTTCTCTTCTGAACACTACCATCCTCCTTCTCTGAAGTTAATAACTGTCTTAATTTCTAACAGAACAGATTAGTTTTGCCCATTTTGAACCTGATATAAATCTCATCAAACAGTATATTTGGGGAAGGGTCTGTGGTGTTTTTTTTTTTCTTAGTGCTATATTTGTGATATTTATCATGTTGTAGCATGCAACTATAGGTTTTTTATTTGTATTTTGAGTATCATTGCCTTGTTTGAATACTGCTCTCTGCTAATGAATATTTGGACTATTTCTT